AGTCGTGTGCAGGAGTTACTGAAAGCATTGAAGACGGTTAGGCCTGGGAAGGCAAGAGCTGGAGAAGACTCAAGGGCTCCCCTTAAATATTCCTCTGGAGGAAGATAGATTGGAATTACAGAGTCCAATTTTTATCTGGGATAAGAAAAGAACTTCCTAAGAGTCCAAGTAGTCACTTCACACCTGCTTTACCCTCTGGCTCTGCTGCAGTCCGCCAGTTCTTGTTTCAGCTCCAGCTCTCAAACCAGGTCCTTCTCCTCGCCGGTCTCTGATGCCGACCCCTTAATGCTAGCCCCTCCTTTGCTTTCTATCTGCTTCTTGGATCTGATGTTCCAGAACGTCTCTCCTTTTGCGCACTGCTCCTTCACTGCCCAGTGCTGTGGCTATGAGCCAGCCCTTCCCATTCCTGTGCCCAGGCCCCTGTGCCCAAACTTCCTCCCCCTGCCTCCAACCTGGGAGAAATCAGATAATTACCAACAACAGAACTGGATATTTCAGAAGGAAATACATTCCTTATTTCCAAAGTCAGGGAAGCAAAAATACACATCTACCTATTGAGAATATTATTGAAAGGATGTGTATCAGTTGGGTGCCTTTGCTCACAAGTAACAAAGCTATCTCTGTCCAACTTAAGCAAAAGCTGGAAAAATGTTGAAGAGCTAGGACATCTGGAGAATCAGTCCAGGGACCAGGAGAATAATCNTGAAAGGATGTGTATCAGTTGGGTGCCTTTGCTCACAAGTAACAAAGCTATCTCTGTCCAACTTAAGCAAAAGCTGGAAAAATGTTGAAGAGCTAGGACATCTGGAGAATCAGTCCAGGGACCAGGAGAATAATCAAGGCAGTTGCAACCCTTGAACCATCACATCAAGGTGGCATCTCAGGAGTGGGTGAACCCGTACATGTGTTCCACCCATATTTCATCCCTCAGAAACTCAAAATCTGAGAATCAGGAGTTTTGACTGGCTTATCCCATGTGCTCTGGCTGTAACGGGGTGGCTGAGAGGAAGGTTCCAGCTGACAGAGCCTGTGAAGGCCTCTGAGGACCCCTACTGTGACTCTCGTGGGGGAGCGAGATGCCTGATTTAAAGCCCCCACAAGCCCAAATGCAGTGGAGGGCAGACAACTCCCCCAAACACACAAGAATCAGGGGCCGTTAGGAAAGGGGAATGGATGCTGGGCCGCCAAAAGAACAGCTCCCAGATAAACCCTCAGAGAATCTTAAACTAGATTAGTGTATCCCAGATGTTAAGACTTCCATGGACTTTGAGAAACTTTATATATTTTTTTTACTAAATAAGTTCATTAAAACAAAATGACTGCTGTCAGCCATCACATCATTTTATAAAAGTCATTAATATCAAAAAGTAAACAAGGACAATCTCAGAATAAAAGAAAGTCCTTAAAATGGATAAATTTACTTTATGTCAGATTTATTACAATGTGCTTTTCCTGTTTCCCTCATCTCACTGGAGACCAGTGAACATGGAGTGGCCCCCGTTTGGAGAGAGTTCCAGGAATCACTGGACTAAATGATGTATAGGTTTCCTCCTAACTCCAGGTTTCTGTAATTCCAGTGGTATCTTGCTATTGGAATAGTGATTCTCAACTGCTGGCAATTTTGCCCCCTAGGAGATATTCGGCCATGTCAGGAGACATTTCTGGTTGTCACAAGTGGGCGTGGTGGCAGGGGGCTGAAGGGGACCGGGGCTGCTGCTCAACACCCTACAATGCACAGAACAGCTTCTACAACAAAGAATTATCCAGCCCCAAATCTCCATAGTGCTGCGGTTGAGAAACCCTTCTAGAGAAAGAAATCCCATTACACGATTAATTAAATTTTTATCCCATTAGAACAGGGTTAGAAAATACTGTGGTTAGGTGTTGTCACAACCTTTATTCATGAGGCAGAACTTTTGTTTGGTTAAATTATAATTGCTTCTTCAATATAAAATATATTTTTTAAATACAAAAGTAGTGCATAATCATTATTAACATTTTTGGAAAAAAGCAGAGGAAAACAAATCACTGTTGGCCTCAGCCTGTTCTCTTCCTGATCTGTTTCCCCTTGGTTATCTATCAGCATCTCAAATAGAGCATATCCAAAATGGAACTCTTGGTTTTCCCACCCCACCAGCCTGTTCCTCCCCGACTTGCCCTCTTGAGCAACTGGCACCTAAACTCTCCCAGCTATCCTTGACTCCTCTTTCTCACACCCGCACGAATCCATCAGCAAATCCTGCAATTCACCTTCACAGTAAATTGCAAATGCGACCACTTCTCACCCCTTGTCCGCAGCTACCAAGTCCCAGGCTCCGTGGACCTTTCCCTATCCACTGCAGGGGCCTCCTCGCTGCTCTTCCTGCGTCCACTCTTACCCATCACAGTCATTTCTCCACACAGCAGGTGTCCGCAGCTACCAAGTCCCAGGCTCCGTGGACCTTTCCCTATCCACTGCAGGGCCCTCCTCGCTGCTCTTCCTGCGTCCACTCTTACCCATCACAGTCATTTCTCCACACAGCAGGCAAAGAGAGACTTGCTAAAAATTACTCAGATTGTGTTGTACCCTGGCTCAAAACCTTCCAGTGGTTTCCATCACACTTAGAGAAAAAGATCCTAACTCCTTACCATGGCCGCAGGCCCCGATCCCTCTGCAGCCTCATCTCTTATTCTGCACCTCCACACTGGCCTTGCTTCCTTGTGTCAGCAAGGGTCTTCTGCCCTTGCTGTCCCCTTTGCCTAGAACATCTCCTGACGGGTCTTCCCAAGCCTCCCTCCCCCCACATCATTCAGGATCTGCTAGGATCTCACCTGCTCAGGGCAGCCTTCCCTGACCACCCCATGGAAAACTGTCCTCTCCTTTCCACCACTCTTCACCCCCTGCCTTGCTTGATCTTAATATTGTGATATTCTTCATTTATTGATTTGTTTATTGTTTTTTCTCTCAACCATAATGCAAGCTCCATGAGGGCTAGAATTTGTTTTGTTCTCTGTTGAATCTCCAGCATCTAGAAGAGTTTATGTATACAGTAGTCACTCAATAAACATTTGCTGAATGAACTGTTAATATTTGGGTAATATCCTTCCAGTTTCTCAGCCATCATTTTTTTATGATTTATGTAATTGTATTTATTTTATATAAAATATATAATACTATCTAATTTTACACATTGACTTTTTAAAAATTTACTATTATTCCTGAAACTTTTTTTAGGTTATTAACTCTTCATAACATTTGATAATTTTATAACTTTAATAGTGACCTATCATTCCTTTGGATAAAGATATTAATATCTTCTTGAACATTTAGGTTATTCTAATCTTATCTTCTGCTATGTATAGTAAATATCTCTGCAGTAGCTATCTTTGTGCCTAAACCATTTTTTTCTTTACTTTGGGGAATTTCCTGAGGATGTATCCTAAAACTGGAGTTGCAGGATCAAAGGACATGAGTGCCTTTACGTGTCTTAATACATGCTGTAAAAATGACAATGTCCTTTATTTTTTCCACTTTCTTTCCTCCTCAGTCTTATCCTGCCTGCAAAATCCCTGCACTGACTTCAAACCTCTTCAACATTTATGGGAAGAGTCCTCTGATTGTGTACTTCCTCCTGAATTACTCCAGGCTGCAGCACCATGGTGAGGACGTGCTGATCACCAGGAGGGAAGAGACCAAGAGCATCCCATATCCTTGTCACTGCAGGCATGGCATGCATTACTCCAGACCCCTGCTTCCTCTTCTCAGAAGCAAGAGTTGGAAAGAGGCATCTAGGCCTTAGTGCAGCACTTGGCACATAGTCCGTGCTCATCAGGGGTGGCCACTGATATGACTGCTCATCTCAGTTCCAAAACGAGCCAGCCTCATGAACTGGCTGTGAGACCCTGGGCATGTCAAACTTCCCTGTGTGCAAAGTCTCCTTTCCTCCATCAGCCGAATAAATGGGCTAATTAGGTACGCTAACATACTTTGAAACTAAATAATGCTCACTGACCCCAGAGTGTGTATGGATCAGGGATTTTGGTGTCCATGTGTGTGTTTCATCTAACACCCTCCTCACACACGGCACTCTCCCAGACCCATCAGCAGATTCCTGACCCTGTTCCCATTTATCCTAAAGATCCAGTTAAAAGCTCCGATCTCAAGAAAACAGCTGTGGCATTTGTTGGTGTCCTGAGTCTTAGCAGTTTACCACAGGGGTCAGAACATGGGTTCTGTCTGGAATCAAATTGATCGGTTAGGTCAAATAGACCTGGACTCAGGAACCAACACTACCACTAAGCTGCTGAGTGATTATAGAGAAGCTCCATCTTCTCTCTGGGAGTCATATTTTTCATCTTTAAAATAGGGATAATGGGCCCGCCCGGTGGCGCACTGGATGGTGCGCCGCTTGGGAAGCGCGGCGGCGCTCCCGCCCGAGGGTTCGGATCCCACA